CCCCAAAACCCCAAAACCCCAAAACCCCGTACATTAGAAATCAATTGATGAGTTATGAAATAATAAGCATAAAATAAATCAATTTTAAGGTATGGTATATAAGTATTCCCACATATTTATGTCATCTGGGTAGTCAATGACTTTGAAAGGAGATATTTGATTATTTGAGCCAATGTTAATTGGAAAAACTTGATCGATCGTAAGTTTGAACATGTCATCAATCATTCTGGGCAATAGCATTTTCAAAAGCTAAGAGGATTCCTCAATGCAGGGATTTGTATTCACCTCTATAATATAACTCTTCAGATTTTCATCAATAATGAAATCGTAGCCAACCAATTCAAAGGTGTATTTGGTGAACTTTAATTTAGATTTCACCGATTGCAGGCTGCTAATGATGAGTTCTTTGTGCTGTGATTCTAAATTATTTTTTATCTCATAGCCATTCATATCTTCTGTATTGCAATCCTGAGTTGCTAGGAAACTTGATAATTCAAGCAAAGATATTTGATTTCCATCTTCAAATTTCCCATAGTTATCAGAGTATTTCTAAATAGCATTGTTAGTCAAGTGAACATATATTTTGTCCAGATTGTCATTTGAGAGATTATAATTTTCACAACTTGTTCTAACATAGCACTCTCTAAAAAATTAAAAGATAAATATCATACTTGAAAACATAGCATTTCTAATCATAGTTAATCAATGCCCAAACTCTAACATCAAATTTTCTGCCCTTAAATAATAATGGCCGCTCTACATATTTTTGAATTACGAAGCCAAAGCTCTTATATTTTTATTACTATGCTTCAATCTCTTCTTTATTTTCTTCACTGGTTGGTTTCTTAATCGTTTATCCAGGAGTAGTTTATTGGTTCTACCATTTAATGTCATAGTATTCCAAAAGAATTTACTTTAACTCATCTATTTATTTGAATATATGAATGCCCCTACCTCTGTTGAGGCCAGTGGGCTTTAGAAGCCATAAATTCTAGTGATCATGAGAGCTGTGTAATAACTTATACTAATTCTTTGATTGATAGGATTTCCTCTCATTTTAGAATTGAATTTATTATATTTTATTTGACAGTTCATCTGCTGTAGAATCAATATTCTACTCTATAATTTTGAAAACACTCCTAAACTAGTCATACTAATCTTGAATGTGATCAGATTTGAAATCAAGGATAAAAGTAAGGGGCATCTAATCAAATACATTTAGCTAACTTTTCTCGCAATGAGCCTTAAGATTAATGAATAGCAAGTCTTTGGTAGTCAAATTTTCATGACCTTAGATATGATTAACCATTTATTTCTATCCGTACTTACTAACATATTCATATTTGAGACCATTTGAGAATGGCTACCATTTAAAATTGAATAAATTGTCATAATTAGAGGCTTCATCCCAATAAACTTGACTTGTCTCTGGATTCATCTATCTATTACTTAGTATTCGTTTAATAATGTGATGGTTATTTCCTTCCTTTACTATGAACTTCCATATTTTTTGTCTGGTATCTTAATTGGCCGATATAACACTATACTTTTGTCTTGCTTCTACTCTTTACTATTGCATTCTTTCATATTCCTTTGCTTATTCTTCATAAGGGTTATTGACTCTCTTTGGTAATCTTATTGCTTAAAGCTATTACACATTCGAGCTAACTTGATTGTTGTCAAGTTTACTCTCCTCAGTTACAGACTCTTTTATGGTATCGTTTCTATAAATGACAGGTCTGACTCCTCGTTTAAGATTAGTCGACTAAACCCTATCAGATTTCTACTTTAAATAATTGAGCTATTTTTATTGGTTAGATGCTGAATCTTTATCATTCTACTATGATAAAGTTCCAACAGCTTCTTTAATTAATTCTGAATTAATATTGGCTTTTAATTGATTTTACTTGAGAACACCAAGTCTATTATCAGATTTTGAACCTCTTTTAGCATCCTAGTAGTAATTAGATATGGTAGTAGTGCATTAGCTTCCAGTGCTTGTTGCTGTAGTTGACATTTATGGATTTTTCTCATCATTAATGATTGTTTCAGATTTGTTCTCCAGTTTGTTCTATATTACATCATTCAGAGATTTACCCTTTTAAACTATCTGATTTTAAGCATATTGTCTTGGCCTTAAAAATGGAAGTTTTTATTGTTGATTTAGTTGCTATCTCACTGGCTACAGAATATCTTTTTAGTTATGCACTACTCTGGTATAGGACTGACTCGAAGTTATTGTATGCTTAATTATATCATATTCAGACGAGGGAGACTTACAAATGATGGGTTAAATTTAATCCAATGGTTTTTCTTCTAAGGCATTACTTTATGCTTCTTAAGTGCTTTATGCTTTGATTAGTCCTACTTATTTTTATTTAGATCTACTTCCAACAAATATGTTGAAAATGTCATCTGCAGCAAATAATTCTGTGTCATTTACATTTCGCTTTTTATCTAGAGGAGTTCCAACTAAATTTATGTTAGTATGTCTGTCTCTATCTCTTGATTGTAACTTGCTTTCTGTAAACTTTTCTTAAATCTGCTGAGGATTATTTTATGAGTGCAATCCTTATTGAATGAAATGTATCTTTCTGTTATAAGGTCCTTAAGTAATCAAGTTTTATATTACGAGTATCTAGGATACGTCGTTTTCATTGAATTCTCTGTTTTATTTAATGTAGAAATTTGATTGTTGCTGCTTCTATACAATCGATTTAGATCCTTGAGTTCCTCTATTTCTGTTATTCGGCTATGAATTCATTTTCTGATCCCTGATCTCATTATAACTAAATAAATGTCCACTCTTCTAATTACTTTGCTGCTTTGTTCCCATATTTATCAAATTTTAATTCAAAAGTTGATTCATAGTATTGTTATTAGCTTGATTTTTTTATGCACTACTTTTAATTTTAATAGTCCCTGGAGATTTTTATGAACTGTTGAAACTTAGAAGATTGGCTGGTATGTCAGTTTGAGTTTATCCTGGCACAATTGGTGCATTCAGATTATTGTTTTAGTATAAATCCTTAACTCTGTATAAAGACGAATTGATAATGGTACTTCCCTTGAGCTACTTATCATCCAGATTGGGCATTTTAAAATATCCATTTATTCCAGCAAGATTTGTGTTACTGCTTTGTTAAGACGCGGCTATATAATGAGAAGATTTTTATTTTAGGGAATTAATTGAAAGTCGTTTCTTATGACCACTACTGCCATCCTTGCTGTTAGATTCAACTACTATTTTATTTATGTTATTTTAGGATGAATAATTAGGTTTCACAGATTAAGAGTATTTTTAGAGTTTATTTTGAATTTCAGATATAGGCATCTTTTAATTATAATTAGTGCTGGCTGGGGGGTTATTGAAACTAGCTGAATATTCTAATTGAGCCTCAACAGTTGGCAAATTCATTCCAAGTCCACCAGTATTATTATTCTGCAAGAATGACTCTCCTCCAAGCTGGGAATTCTTCAAACTCTCCAATAGGACTGATTTCATGTCTCTAATCTCGATTCTGTTACCTAGCATTCTATGTTTATTAATAGTATTCGTTATATTTGGGTTAGAATTAGGCAACTAGCCAAGTTGTGATGTTGACTTCGACTCTTGATAAGGCGAAAGTGTTTAATAATTTTCAATCATTTATTTTTCCTATTTTTTATTTCTTAATTCCAGATTCAAATTAATATTGACGGGGTTTTGGGGTTTTGGGG